CACACACACACACACACACACACACACACACACACACACACACGAACACATTCACGCACTCGCCCAAAAACACATGATATTTCCCTTTCAGTACGCCCATTATGACTAAACAAGTAAGATGCTCGTCTTACCTTAAACCTCTGCTGTCTAAGATTTGAAGGAAAAGGCTGTTGACCTTTTGTATGTTGGGAGGTGGGAGATGACTGATATGATGCTGCCCCCTCTTAAGGGAAAAGAAGACACTTCCTGCTGTTGTTATTGTTGTGTGCAAAAACACCGACAACGGCAATCACATATGCATTTAATGATATTACTAATCGGATCGTGCTCAAATGAGGACACATTGAACAGAAGTTCAGAGGACTGATGAGACTTTTCCCCCTTGCTCCCCACCATATAATTTTTTAAGTGTTTGAGAAGATAAAGGGAAAAAAAACCTAAAGAAGTATCAAAGACATTTGTAAACACATGATGTGTACATTGACATTTGGATGGAAAAAGAAGACGGTGAGAAGATTTGCCTGTCAAAAGATGGAACACTTGCATTCAGCGGATGCCAGCAACTTTATGCCATTACCCCAAATTCTTTTACTTTTTTTTAAAAAATATATCATATAACTATATATAATTCTGAGGCCCTGGACTGTTGTTCTCTTCCATTAATAATTCATAAGTGGTCTACTTGTGCTGATAACCAGCAGGGAGCAGACGCGTTCAAGGATTGAAGTTGGAATTGGTTGCTGTCAGCACTTGCAAAATTTAGGACCTGCTTCCCGAAAAACTCACCAGCTTATGACCTGTTGACACTTGTTAAAGCTCAAAATCATTTCAGACTTGCAATTGATGAATTTAAGAGAAAAAAAACAATGTCACTTTTCCTCTGCATTGGACCAGCTCGGCTCACTATTCTGCTTCAAACTACTTCTGTGACCAAATGCAGAATCCACATTGCATTGAAACATGCATTGAACAAGCACCAAAGCCTTCAGTCGAAACGAGACAAGCTAACAAAGGAGACAAATTTAATTCTAGACAAAGAATGTGTGTGGTTTGGCATAGTTTTGCACTTAAAAAAAGAAGTCGCAATATTAGCCAACTGGATATAGCCTACAATCACGAGTTAGAACCTATTGTAATGCCACCATGCAGTCAAGGATGGACACATCCATCGGTGCACTCTCAATTGTTTTATTGAACAAACTGTAGCTAAATAAACACGTAATAAGCACTTTCAAACAAGAGCTGCTCCAGCCACATCTGACACCCAGGCAGGTAACGTTTAGCCGGTTAACTGCCAGTCGCAAATCTGAGCTCACGACAGCTAACTTTCCACTCTCATTCGCTGACTCCCACATCACCCACCGGTCAACCCGACCTTTTTAAAGTGACACACATGCAAAAATACAGATATTTCGGTTTGGAGATAGCAACCCCAAATACAAAACAAGACTGTCAGATCTCATGCCTGCACCTCACATGCACATTTTATAAATCATTAAAGCCATGGGAGCTTAGTTGGTAACATGCAGTGCAAAAGTGGCAAAAGTTCCAACAACTGCTCATATTGTCCACTTGTGTTTGTCAGTCTGCAGTATTTTCAGCTCCGCGCAGCTCACCACTTCACATGCATTTCACTCTTTGAATGTGCCATTGAGACAGTCAAGTGGCGCCTCAGTGCTTCCCTCCCTTGCTGAGCTTCCTTCAGAAGCTCCACAAGATCATCTGAACAAGATGGCCTCAGATCAGATGTTCCGCACTTGTGACCCCGCCACTGTCAGGACAGAAGGTGACTGAAGCATTGCTTTATGTTCCTTTCTTGGCTTCTATCTCAAAATTATTGTCATAAAGTACCAATACTAGGCTTTTGTAAATAATAACAAAACCCCTGTATATGATGTATAACAGCAGCTTTGTTTTTCTTTGTCTCCTTTAACCCCAAAACACACTTTCCTCTACCAGCTTGACAACACTCAGTGGTTATCATGTATGTATAAATATAACGACTTATCATGTATTAACAAATCAAAGTTTATCTTCGGAGCTTCCAAGCAAGAGTGCATTGACAAGAGAGTGCAAAGACAGGCTTTAGAAAGAATATGTAGCTTTTGTTCTCTTTTGTGAACCAAACACTTCATCTTAACTATCCATAGCAGTCATGACATTGTAGCATGGAGTCAGGTTATGATGAGCGTGACCACAAAGCAGTGTTAGCTTCATTTAACTTTGAACATATACTATTGATATTTGCAACTCGTCAACATTTTCTCCAAAGCCAAGTAAAAAAAAAAAACACGGGGACC